GCTGAGTGGTTAGAACGTTTACTTTCTGGCCACGAGACCCAGGTTTAAATCTCACCATGGATGATTTGTCAGGAAGTAGACGTCCTTGTGTTATCAGACGGGAGGGGGATGATCCCAGTGTGTGGCACCTTTAGAAAGTGCCTGAAAACAATCCCATGGTTTGACCTAAGCCTTATGCATAAAATTGGATAGATGGAACTCTTGTGGGCCATTGATAGCTGTGCTAGCATGTAGCCACAAGTCATTGTGGCCGAGAGCTTGAGTGTGCTGGCCTTGTTCAAATTGTTGATCACACTAGATAACTCACTCTCTCCCAGAAATTCTAACTAAGGTCTGCTCTGCATAGTTGCAGTATAAACCACAGGTGGGCTCTGTGGGTGCTGAGCATACACAAATATGCCTGAGTGAGCGTCTGCAATAGGGATTGGCTAGCCACCCTAGTAGAAAGATATCCTTGAATATGAGTGGCCAGCTATTATATATATATATATATATATATATATATATATATACATATATATATATATGTGTGTGTGTGTATGTACGAATGTACGTATGTATGTATGTATCTATATATATATGTGTGCGTGTGTGTGTGTATGTACGTAAGTATGTATGTGTCTATCTATATATATATGTGTGTGTGTGTGTGTGTGTGTATGTATGTATGTATGTATCTGTCTATCTATATATATGTATGTGTGTGTGTGTGTGTGTGCATGTGTATGTACGTACATATCTATCTATATATATATGTGTGTGTGTGTGTGTGTGTGTGTGTGTGTAATATATTGTGTTTGGAAAGTTTGATATTAAACAGAATAAACAAGAGAGAATGTTGATCTGAATTTTCAATAATTGTTTTCTATGATCTTAAAAATATTGTTTTTTTCTCTCTTTCTCTTTCTGCTATTTTATCGTTGCCCACTAAAAGGGGATGTTTTATTGCAACTAATAAGGATAATAATAATAATAAAGAATCAATGTTTCCAAAACCTCTGTCAAGCAATAACAAACATGGAAGATGCACTAATGAGTGAATCAATTGCCTACAGCTAACAGAAGACTAAATCAATTTGCAACTTCCACAGATCAGTTCTTTTATTTGAATCGAGAGACAGAGACAAGATTTAATAAAAACAAAGTGAATGACATGCAATGTCCAATGAAAGAGAAAAACAAACTGTCTTATCGTTATTGCAAGAGGTTATAATGTTAAGTTCGCATAATATGTAAAAAAGAAACAGTAAAATAGAAATGTTGTTTTTGGAACAAATTACAATGTTAACATCATAATGAAATGAGGTCCATCTACCATCATGGAGGAAAGTAGGAATTATATGAGTAATTATAATAGTGTGTTAAAAGGAAAATGTATTAGAGTGCCTATTATAATTGGAAAACATTATCATTGAAGAGGTTTATGATGAGAAGTGTAGCCATTATGATTGTTAAACTGGCATGGATGCAAATCAAAACAAAACAAGAAAGAAGAAAATTAGGCCATTGTTGAAACTTTAAATGATTGCTTATTATTTCACAAGTGCACACACAGCCGTTAATAGGCTGAAATGTCTTTTTCTTCAGTATCTGTCTATATTTCTGAGATGAGGTATTATGTACATTATTTACATTATTCTGACTCATCTTTGTCGCCATATTTATTACAACGTTTCAGCTGTTGTATGCTCCGGCCTTCTTCAGGTGGTTGGAACGTCAAACTGAACCCTTTATTTCACTCACTGGGGTAGACTGTTCTAGTTCCACGCAGCATGTTTAGTGGATTTCAGTTATCAGTTATCTCCCGTTAACACCCTTCTCCAAGTTCTCCACTGCCTTAACCGGGTATTGAACTCACACACTTGGGGTCCTGTTACTCAATCTAACTAATGCCGTTATCCACTGTGCTATGTGTTCTTGAGTTAAATCCCATATAATGGTCTTGAGGAGGTTAAAATAATTTTGTAGTGGTTGGAATGTTGAACTGAACCCTTTATTTCGCTCACTGGGTTAGACTGTTCTAGTTCCATGCAATATGTTTAATGGATGTCAGTTATCAGTTATCTTCTGTTAATTTCCCTCTGAATGTTCTCCACTGCCTTAACCAGGTATTGACACATGGCACAGTGGATAAAGGTGACTGGACCCAAAGAGTGGGAGTTCAATACCCGGTTAAGGCCGTGGAGAACTTGCAGAGGGAAATTAACAGGAGATAACTGATAACTGACATCCATTAAATATGGCACGTGGAACTAGAACAGTCTGCCCCAGTGAGCGAAATAAAGGGTTCAGTTCGACATTCCAACCACCTGAAGAAGGCCGGAGCATACAGCGGCCGAAACGTTTTAATAAATATGGCAACAAAGATGAGGACAATAGTCCGAATAATGTAAATAATGTTTTTTTCTTCATTCAACACTAAAATACAATAAAACTTCAATTTTCAAATGTGTCTACTTTAAAAAAAAAAAGAGAAAGTATAGGTAATAATACCTGAATAGAATTTAACCTCATTTACGATACAGATAAAAATGAAACCATATTCATTTTAGATTTATTTACTATAACAGTGTAATATCATTTTATTCAGAGAAGCAAAAAAAATATTGATCTATATATACATACAAACATATATCAATATATGCCAAATGAACGAAAAGAACCCCAACAGTAACTTTTGTTTTTTTAATAATTTCTCCCAATCAGTCAGTTATGTGCCATGCATGATACACACTTAGGCAATCATGTATCTTTCAATACATGACTGATGAGGCAGATTTTTTCCTGCAGTAGGTTGCCATTTCTGTCTGTGGTAGACCAGTTGCTATCAAATGCTATAGAACTTGGTCTGTCCTGCTATTTATCTATAGCTTGGGGGAGAAATAGAGAATTCATACCTTTCCTGAGGTTATTAGTATATAAGTGAATGTAATGGATTCAACTGGAATTCGATCTTGGCTCTCCGATTCCTAAATCCAATCCCTAACTAAGGCAATAAAGCCACTAAAATGCAAGCAAGTTACTAAGAGTGAAAAACCTACTGAGAAGATCTTGAGGAGAGAGAGGACATTAAAGACTATAATTCAAGGAAACAGAACATGATGATTGAAATAGCATTTAAATTTTTGAATATCGTAGTTGACAGGGAAGCAAGAAGCCTGAAGATGGTTACACAAGTGAGAAGAAACTTTTAGCATAGGACTTATGCTTACAGTTAGCAATTTCAACCAAAGCAATTATTCAATTAATACTTTCACTATTGCATTGTTATATCATTGTAACCTGATACATTTTTGGAAAAACAGAAAATTCTCATTTTCTGGAAATAAATGACTGTAAAGTCATTGACAGTGCTTTCTCATAGATGATACCATTTTAGTTTTGATTGGATACTGTTTTTTGTAGACTAGGTTAAATGATACCCCCACCCTGACAAAATGAATAATAAGAATACATTACCAAATAGGTCATATTGTATGCTACTGAATATCTGCACTAGTTTGTAAACATTACTAAGCACAAATAGTTTATAATGCAAACATTTGGGATCAACATTTCATAGTGTCTGGAAAATGTATATATATACTGACAGTATGTAATGTAAGTTTCAAAAAGACATGTATGTCTACAACAATGGCGGCGTTAATAATCAAAGAAAATTGAGCTGATATTTCAATGTTTTTTTTCACAGCTTCTTCAGAGAACCAGCATCGATTTATGTAGCTCAATTATAAAAGTCATAAAAATAAAAATAAAAAATTTAAATATATGACTGAAAGCCAACTAAGTAAGATACATACAGACAGATATTTTGGGATAAATAAAAACTTTGATAAGGAAATCCTGAAGATATTCCCAGCTTTGGATTTTCCATGAAGTTCATTACTGAACTAATGGATATTTCTTAAGAAATTTATAGATTCAAATACATGAGTCTGTCTATATTTCTGAGATGAGGTATTATGTACAGTATTTACATTAGTCGGACTATTGTCCTCATCTTTGTCGCCATATTTGTCACAACGTTTCAGCCATTGTATGCTCCGGCCTTCTTCAGGTGGAACATGGTACGTGGAACTAGAACAGTCCACCCCAGTGATCAAAATAAAGGGTTCAGTTCGACATTCCAACCACCTGAAGAAGGCCAGAGCATACAACGGCCGAAACGTTGTGACAAATATGGCGACAAAGATGAGGACAATAGTCCGACTAATGTAAATACTGTCAAATACATGAATCCAAAACATTTAAACATCTTTAATAAATCATAGTCTACAGAAAAAAATCCCCTTATGCCGCCAACAATCGTCTTGCAAATTTAAACAGAAAACCAATTTAGCATTTCTCTGGAATCAGTACACATATATATATATATATATATATATATATATATATATATATATATATATATCTATTCAGGGTTGCTGATATTGCAATGTTGCATAAAAGCATTGCGAACACCAATGAAGAAAACTATTGAGTAATGTTTTTTTTCCCAGGTGAACATCAAGAATTCATTTGAAATAACAAATTAAAAATAGACTATTTCCATAATGAGACAATTATAAATAACAACAAAAACAACTACGACCATAATGGAACTCTATATGTGAAATTGGTAGAAATGCAATGGAACAGGCATTGTTATTTAATTCAATGTAAATCTAATTAAAAATCTAATTAAAGTTTTGATCAATAATGATAAAAACAATAATAATGAGAGCTAAAACAATATCCATCCACAAAAGAGAGTAAGTAAAATTATAATAATAGTGTGATTGTAGTGAGGAATAATCTCAAAATGTTTGTGATTAGAAACAAATGTTTGCAAGGCTAAAATTGACAAAAGACCATTCATGATGCAGATGTGAATTGCATTTGTAATTGTACAGAGATTCAAATATGTAGAAAGAGCAAGGACTTGAGTTACTGTCCAACAAAGGAAAGAGATTTCAAAAAAAAATCTGAAAGCTTCACAGTTTTGTGCTGAATAATAAGAATTATGAAAATATGAAAATAATGTCTATCATTTGCAAACATAATGGAAAGAAAGATAAAAGGAAAAAGACCAAAAAGAAAAAAGAAAAAAGAAAAAAAGGAAATGAAAAGAAGTGGAAAAAAATGAGTGAAAGGATAATAAATATGAGAAGGAAAAAGAAAGAAAAAAATGAGGAATAGAGGAAAAGGACAATAAAATATCGAAGAAAGAGAAAAAAAAGAAAGAGAAAACATGAGAAGTGAAAAGAATAGAAAAAGAAGAGAAGAGAAAGTATAATAAAAGAAATGAAGGGAAAAGAAAGGACAATGAAAATAAGAAGAAAACTCAAGAAAAGAAAGAGAAAAAAGGAGAAATTCAAATACATATAAGAAAGAATGAAAAAAGAAAGAAAGACTGAAAGAGGCATAAAAATAAGAAGGGAAGGAAAAGAAAAAGAGAGAATGAACAATAAATGAAAGGGTGAAGGAATCATAACATTTAGAAGGAAAGGATGAGAAAACAAAGGGGAAAAAGTGTGAGAGTTCAGTAAACTCATGAAGAAGAAAGAAATGAAAGATAAAGATGGATAGAGAAAGAACAATAAAAATAAGTAGGGAAGGGAGTGAAAAAAGAAAATAAAAAAGGAAAATAAGCATGAAAATGATAGAAAGAATAAAAGGAAAAGGAAAAGAGAAAGAGGGGGAAAGGAAAATAAATATAAGAAAGAAATGAAAGAGAAAAAGATAGAAAGAACAATAAAAATTAGAGAGGAAGAGAAATGAAAGAAAGTGAAAAAGAGGGAAGAAACCATAAATCTTAGAAGCCAAAAAGAAAGAAAAGAAAGTGAAAAGAGCAAAAGTTCAATAAAATCAAGAAGGAGAGGGAAATGAAAACAGAGTAAAAGAAAGGAAAATAAAAATAGGAGGAAAAGGGAGAAAGGATAATAATAAAAAAAGAAGGAAATTGAAAGAGAGAAAGAGAGAAAGGACAATAAAATAAGTAGGGAAGAAAAAGAAAGGAAAAAGATAGAAAGGACAAAAGATGTGAGAAAGAGAAAATGTAGAATAAATATAAGAATAAAACTGAAAGAAGGAAAAGAAAAGCAGAGAAAGGACAATAAAAATAAGTAAGAAAAGAAAGAAATGAGAATAATAACAAAAAGGAAAGGGAAATGAAAGAGAGAAAAAAAGAAAGAGAAAGAAAGGAAAGCAAAAAAGGAAAGGACAATAAACATAAGAAGGAAATGAAAAGAAAGAGAAAAAGAGAGAAAATTCAATAAAATTAACAAGGAAAGGAAAATGAAAGGGTTTTATGGAGTGGTTTCACAGTGGAGGCTTGTATTTGTACTAAGTCGGTCCTAAAATAGTACAAAACGTTAGGAACTTGATATAATAGGTAATGACGCAGAGAAATCTAGTGGTGGTCGCTGAAACTTTAGTATCCGACTAACGGTTGTCCGGCATTGACTGACTGACCGAACCACTGAGCGACTGCTACTACTCCTACTTATTATAGGTGGGAGAGTCTATTAACAATAGAATAGGTGTGTTCCACTATAAAAAAGGGAAAGGCAATAAAATGTAAGATGGAAAGATTGGTATTAGAGCTTTGCTGCATGAAATAAAAAATCTCTTTCTTTCTCTCTCTCTCTCTCTCTCTATATATATATATATATATGTGTATATATCATTATATATGTATGGTACTTATTAGAAAGTGCTCAATATCAGTGATAGAACTAACATATTCAGTTGTATGGATATGAGTTTGTGACCTTAGGTTTCATTCTTTTGCAATCATCAGACAAAACAATGGAATATATATATATATATATATATATATATATATATATATGTTGTGACCAAGTAAATGGTTAAGCAATAACAAAAACCAGGGTTGCAGATATATCATATATTAAACAGTAAGTACAGCACAAGAGTATTACATGACTAGTGAGTGAGTGTTGGTTGACCAGTGTTCAATCTACTCGACTGTTAATATTTAACAGCCCCCCCACCAACAGAGGAATGTATGTGGCACAAGGCCGAGTTTACCGTGGGTTCTCCAAGACTGTCGGTTCTCCGAGCTCATGGGTTCTCCGAGCCTGTAGGCTCAGCCAAAAATATTCCCTTAGAACCTGTGTAAATGGGTTCAGGGTCTGTCTATCTCACCGGATGAAACTTTGCCCTTTGGCAAAGCCTCGTCCAGGTTCCTCTCTGCCCAAAGGCAGAGAGTTCAACAGCAACTGTGAACAGTCACAGCCCAGTAGAACAATCTATTTGACTGTTCCCCAAGGCCTTCTCTCCTATTAATCTTATAGTAAGCAGAAGAGTCCAACATAGACTCTTTAGAGGGTGAACACCACAGCAATATATATATATATATATTTAAAGATATTTTTGTAGGTACAAAATTTAATGATCAAAATAAAAGTATAAAACTTAATATTATGAGACATATTAAAAACGGGTGAAGCAACCGGTTTTGCTCCCGCTCTTCAGGCTTCAACGGGAGATTTAATTTAAAATTAACACAGAAAAATGTACAATAAAAGGAAGTTGTGGGAGGAAAAAAAAAAAATAAATAAAACAGCAAAAGGAACTAGAGACAAATGACAGTGAGCCCCAACAAACACTCACGTTGTTTACACAAAGAAGGCTTGTGGGACCCGATGTAAAGTGCCTCCAGAACCTTTAGATGAAATAAAGAGTGTGACCAGGACAACACAGTGAACCAGTCAGCACTAAATTTGGCTGCACAATCTCTGTTCTTTAATAGGTGTTCACCGTTTTTTTAATATGTCTTGTAATATTAAGTTTTATACTTTTATTTCGATCATATATATATATATATATATATATATATATATATATATATATTTCTAAAGAATTAATGGATTTTATTTATTAATGCAACATTTTTTTTATTATTTAAACATTATTTTTTATTAGATAATCATATTTGAGTAGACAGTCGTCCATTTAATTTAAATGAAATAAAATACTGTTTAAAATAAATGGTGTGTCTACTCAATTATGAGTATCCACTAGAACTAATGTTTAAAGTGTGTATATATATAAATATAGATAAATTTAAGAGACCCTTATGAAGTTTTTATTCCATTTCTAAGTTTTTTCTTAAAAGCATCCAAAAATATTAAAAAAATTTCCCCCCGAGCAAGTAATCTTTTCTATTCACAGGCAAAAAGGTATTTTCTGTTGATCAGTTTTTCAAGGATTGCTTTTTATCATTTAATCCAGAAGAGGAAACAATTTCTAAATGGAGATTTTATGGTGACTGTGCTTGAATATATTATACTGACAGTGGTGGCTGTGTTGGAAGAGTCAACCATTTGTAAAACAGGAAGAACCAAATACATCTCTGGGCTTGTAAAATTGGGTGTGAAATTAAAAAAAATATATATTTTCTTCAAACAAACAAGAGATAAAATGACAAAATGAAATTATCAGAGAATAAGAATTTATTTCCAGTTTTTTATCAGATCATCCATATCAAAGATCTCAAACACTCGTCAAGGTGTCTGAAAAAAGAAATTTCCTGAAAGCATTTATCAAAAACTTAACATTGTGTACCAAATGAGAAGAAGGAAATATTTGTGATAATCAGAGTTTCTATATTATATGGTTACTTATGATCTGGCAGATTTGATAGAAAGAAAACTTATGATTAATTCCTGCTCAGTTTAAAAAGCTGTATATGATAATGACATTTATGCTGGTTATTCTTATTTGTTAAGAAAAGATGTAGGATAAATGAATCAAAGAAAACTGATGTAATGGAATAGCCTGTCACCCCCATAAGTGACTACACTATAGGTAGTAACAACCTATAAGTATCTGTAAGTCAATGGACTACAGAAACTCGTTGGGATCTGTTGAGTATGACTTAGACTTATGTGAGAACTACCAACCTTCCAATAGCAGCACTCACTACTGGATTGACTTGTGACAACCTTATGCAGAACTGTTACCTTTATTCTTACTATACTGTTTTTTTACAATAAACCTTTACTTATTTTATCCAACTTGTTTTTCAAGTATATATTCCTATTAGCACAGAATATAACAATATATATATATATATATATATATATATATATATATATATATATATTGATGTAATGGAAAACCGGTCACCCCTATGAGTTACTACACTATAGGTAGTAACTACCTATAAGTATCTGTCAACGGACTACAAGGACTAGCTGGGGTCTGTTGAGTAAGACTCAGATTTATGTGAGAACTACTGATCTTCTGATAGTAGCACTCACTACTGGATTGACTTGCGATGACCTTGTGCATAGCTGTTACCTTTATTCTTATTGTACTGTTTTTTTTTACAATAACCTTTACTTATTTTATCCACCTTGTTTTTCAAGTATATATTCCTATTAGCACGGAATATAACAAAAATAAAAGAAGAAAATGGCCAGAAATATGAAGAACAAGATTTTTTTGTAAATAAAAAATGAAAGATTTCTGGAAAATGAAAAAAAGAAAGCAAAAATGAATAAGAAAGAGAATATTTGGAAAGAAAAAGTCAATCATTAAAAATGGGATAGAAATAAAAATAAAAAAGATAAAGTGAAGAAGAGAGTATACTAAGAGAAGGTAAATGAAAAATATAAATGGGAAGTAGGGTAAAGAAGGAAAAAGGAAGAATGAAAATGTCTGAGAATGAAAGATGTTATACAACAAACTAAAAAAATAAATGAAGAATAAATTTCAAAAACGTGAAAAAGAAAAAAAATGAAACATAAAAAAAAAAAACCCCAAATATTTCCCTGGCAGATTTGACAAATTTCTCACTGAAGGGTTCTAACAACATAAGACATAATGCATCCATTTTATGGACAAGAATTGATTTTTTTTTTCTTTTTACAATTCTGGTTGCCAAGCTGCAGATCTGTGTGCATATCTGCATGTGTGCTCATATTTACTGAAAGAAGACACGTCTCATGCAATGGCTGCATTTGTTGTCACTTCATACACACACAAGATATGCTGTCTTCTTGTTTGTTTGCTTTTGATTTTTGCAAATCAAACAACAAAACTGACAATAAAAATTATTAAAAAGAAAAATCTAGCAATTTTCTCAAATTCTGTAGACATTTTCACTCATATAAGAGGTACGAAAGATTGGCAATAAAAAAGAAAACAGAAAAGAGATATTTTACACTAAATTTTATCTGCTTATACAGAAAACAAGTAAGCACTTGATAATGGATATTTTGGCAACACTGACATCTGTATGGGTCATATAGTTTTAAGTATAACTTTTAACAAATTTAATCACTTTTAAAGCAGAATTATTATAGATATATATTTTTTTAAAAAATAAAAGTGATTTATAATGTTATCTTTGCATAAGCTAATAAGAACATGGAAATAAATCACTCAAACATAAAATTATTATTTATTCAACACTGGCCAATTGATATCTGTTGTGGCCTTGTTAGGTCCATAAATAAAGACATAAAGAGAGGAATTGAGTTAAACAAATATATTAACAGAAACAGTAATACCAACATAATCAAATGAGAGTGTTACAGCAAGCATGTTTGGTCTGACTGTTAGAGCTGACTGCTGGTAACTTCTCTCTTCAAAAGGCAATACCTGCTCATATTTATAGTTGGGAGAGTCCATGTGTGCATGGGTAAATTACCATAACTCTATCTATCTATCTATCTATCTATATATCTATCTATCTAAATGTTGTGGCCTTGTTAGTGCCAGAAATAAAGGCACAAAGAGAGGAATTGTGTTAAACAAATATATTAACAGAAACAGTAATACCAACATATACAAACGAGAGTGTTGCAGCAAGAATGTTTGGTTTGACTGTCAGAGCTGACTGCTGGTAACTTCTCTCTTCAAAAGGCAGTACCTGCTCCTATTTATAGCTCGCATGGGTAAATTACCATAACAATATCAGTGGATGGATGTGTGATGTTGAGGGTTCACTCAAAATATAAATTTGTCTTCTTTTAAAAACATGGGCAATGTTCTATCCTTTCTGAATTGTGTAGAGCACTTATATATCTACCTGTCAGGTGGGTGTCCTACGTGTGCACATCCTCAGCCCAGCTGAGCTGACCACTCCTTTACATATTGGGAGCAACCACTGGCATCCTGTGATGTGTGAATATGCACTGTGGTTCGAGGTCATCTACCAAGTCAATCTGCTGATGCATTCTGGTGTGACATTGAGTGC